TAATGCATGTATACCAGCACGATACAGTAAACACACTACAAAACAAGAGATGCTGTATTTTTCCCATAGCAATTGTTCAATGGAAGCCTCTGTTCATAACTTTCACGGAATTTTATAAGCATTTGCTGATGAATATGGCTCTTTCTTACTGTTACGAAGCATTTTTTTTAAAAAAAACAACACATTGTAAGATTTAAAACAGGTCCCAAGAGGTTTACATTTGATGTTGTTCCATTTGCATATTCCTAGAGTAATGCTATAGGTAGCATCCCAGGACAACAGCTGACAGCGAGGGCAGTAACACCAGTTTATAGAATAGCTAGTTGTTGTGCTGCTTGTGGGTTTGCAAGGGTTTTCTAGTTCACGGCAGCCCTGTCAACACTGCAGCACAAAAGAACAGCTTTTGTCAACACAGAAAAGCTATGCAAACATTGGCACAATACTGGGAACCTTTATTCAAAGAAGTGGTCCTACGGACTCAGAATAAGGAATAGGAAAAGGCTGATGGACAAGAAAGACAGGAGAAGACAATTAGATGTCACAGCAGGTGCCTCATGCTATAGTTAGCATTTGTATTACCATCGTGTTAGACTGTTAGGAAATGTACAAAGCAAAATGGCAATTTTTATACACAGTCTGTCAAAGGTAAAAGGCAAAAGATGGTCAGGGAGACAGCAAAGGACAAGAGACACTATCAGTCAACATGAGAAGCATTGCCCCAAGAGCGGTCACTGCATTCACGGGTATTACAGCAACACTGATGTCTAAGGATGGATTTGAAGGAAGATGCTTAGTATTTACTGATGAGCACCCCCAGCTTCATGTGTTGCAAGAAATAGATTGCTTATGAGAGTGGGAGTTCAGGATTTCACTCAGCTGGCGTAAGGAAACCGGCCATCTTGGCACACAAGCACTTTCAGTGGGGTGCAATTCAGTCTGGAGATGAACCGCCTACCCAGTAGCTATTAAAGGTGCAATGGAAGGGCAAGCCAAGGTGATACAAGCACAGTCATTCCACCACATCCCATGATGGAGCTAACGCTGTGTGCAAATTCACCTAGTGACTCATGTCAGCTCACATGAAAAAAAAAATCCCAACAGTGATCCCATGTCTCACTGGCAAGAGGACACCGAAACTGGCCAGGCTGGTTGGAAACCAACCTGACAGCAGCTCTACTTAGTAAAACTTGTAAATAAGGTGAGTGGGGTTTATTTCTTACATCTTAATGTCTTAGGATATTAACAGGTTCAGAGTTATGGCAAGTAGTATTCTATATTTACCTTTTCAGTGTTGTGTTAACATCACCAAAAGCAGCCAAAAAACTGAACCTTGTTTTCTTTTGACTTAATCCATATAACAGAATCTGGAGAGGTTTGAAATTTACTGGGTTTTTTTTCCCCCCAAGTTTTGTGACAGGCCTAGTTATTAAGTGCTTTCTTTTGGCAAGAACATCAGACTTCTACTAAGCTGGAAAAGGATGGATTCATTATAATTTACACAGAATGCAGTATTCTTTAAACTTTGGGGATCCATTGGCATTTGCTTTATTTCTTCGTAAAATGCACACAATTTTGCAGAATCTTCCTAGCCCCATAAATTACTGTATGAAAGGAGGAAAACCTCTCTTATTCACAACACAGAAAAATGGGACGTTAACCTCACATAAAACCCACTAGCTTGAATCTTGCTTCCTCATTAAGTCTGTGCCAGTTTTGCACAGGATTTCAAAGGCACAAACGTACTTTTTTTTTTCTCCATTATCAATCCATGTTGTAATGTCTTACTTAAAAGAAAATTACTTAAAAAAACATCCCACACTTTTTAAAGACATCTCCATCAATTAAATAGCTAGTCTTTCTCAAGATAACATATCCAAAGACCAAGATAAATGTTTCTGGACAATCTGAAGGCCTTAATACAAGACAAGTGCTTTTTTGTATTGTTTATTTTCCTGCACTGCACTGCAACAACTGTAGGGTGTATATTTTGTATTCAGCGAACAACTTCTGTGGTATAAAATGTCTTTTTTGGTATTCAAATAACCACAAAAGCAATGTAGCTATACCTCATTGCCATGGACATTACCACGTAAAATAACCAGAATGAGAAAAGGTTATTTCTTACCTCATCCATTGTGAAAGACACAGATTTATGAGATAACATTTGTCAGTTCT